ACAAACTTGATATATGCATTTTAATATTAGTTTTTTATATTTTTAAAAGATACAGGTATAATATAAAAATGAACCTTTATGACCTTAAAGATTTTTTTGTTTTTGCTGGACAAAGAGGATATTTTATGTTATTAAGAATTATAAAACGATGATATCACAAATCTGATTTCTGAAAATCTTTATTTTTGAAAAAATTGATAAAAGTACGAATATTATGAATAAAGATAAAAAGTTATTGTATAAACACAACCATCGATATATAAGATAGAAAATAAAAAATAGTTTCTCGCAATTTTCATGAAGTTAAACTCTATATTGAAATTCAGTTCTAAGTAGGACTCTGCTGGACACTCAATACTTGTAATTGCTCTCTGTTTAGATATTTTATTGGATTTAAAAAAACATTTAAATTTTCGCCACCCAATCAGTAGATCTGAGAATTTAAGCTATAATATTGTTATTAGAAAAAAATAGAAAAAAAAGTCATTTTCCCATATTTAAATTTAAAGTAAAAATTCACGAAAAGTTTTACCTTGAATTTCAACTACAATATGGTTATAAGCAAAACGGTAATTATGGCTGCAAAGTTTATCTCATACACGACAAATAAATACGACTTATTCATCTTTTATTATAGATGAATCCTTTGAAAGTATAAAGCTTCTACGCATTAACTCATGTAAGTGTGTAGTTGAAATTTGACATACTCCATATATAATTATTTAGTACACATGAATTACTATAATATTTATAATTATTTGAATTTTTTACTGTGAAGATTTTAACAATTTGTCCCCCTTTTTGACTGGCAAAACATCAAAAAGATTTTAAAGATACAAAATATTTGAAATTTTATTACATTACTATTTGAATTTACTTATTTTTTTCTGTGTATTGTAAATGTTGAAATTTAATTCACATATGTACACACGAACATAAGAAAAGGTACGTTCACATTTATGCGTGTCTACTTTTCAGAATATTAAATTTCTTATATTTTATAAACACTTATAAACTATATAGGTATTCCTCACATTATATGCACATACTGAATAGATATATGTATATATATATATATAAGAAGAAAATTGAAAAAATTAACAAAGGGTAAGCTTGAATTCTTTCTTATATTGAAAGTAATTTTTTTTGTATTTTCATTGAAATTCCTCAAATATAAATCCAACAATACGCAAGGAAAAAAAAACCAAGACAAAGGTAACCAAAAACAAAAAAAAAATGACACAAAGGGAAGCCACATAAAAAGTTGAATATTCTTAAATAAATTTTCTTTTAACAAAGAAAAAAAAAACTTAAGAACACTTTAGGGTAATCTTGAAATCACAGCTCATTTAATCAAGGTTAATAGTTCAAAGGCAAAGAAAATAAAGTACAAAATAAGAATTCAAAAAATAAAAGAAAATATTTCGCCAAAGGATATTGTAAAATATTTTCAAGGTAAAGGTTTCTTCCGTTCTTGATATTTTGCTATTTTTTACATTTTGCTTAAAAACTACAAAAAAAACATAAGATAACATGGAGAAATCAAAATAAAACTAAACAAATAACTTTTGACATAAACGAATTTGACAGCGGTTTTTATAGGACCGATTTATTCATCTTCTCCAAAACTGTTAGACATAATAGTAGTTTAAGTGGTATCAAATTTAGTCAAGTGTATAAAATAATTCGAAGAGTAATAATTCAAAAGTACTCTACAATTTCAGGATCTTGAATATTGAAAAAATGCAAGAGGAAGTTGTGCTCTAAGCAAGTTACTCTTTTAATTATTTTTTCACTCGTTTTACAAATAAAGCTTATTAGATTCTTTGCTAAATCTAAAGACTTTTTCTAAGAATTTAAGAAACCAGACCAAAATTTTGTATTTTATTTTTTTTTATAGCTAACGAAATTTTTTATGGTTACAAATGATATAGGGTAAAAAAGGATGGAATCAGAGAGCATTGTACAAATTGAGGGAACAAAAAACAATACAAATTTTCTCTTTTCTGTTTCAAAGAGTGATAGAATATTAATGTGGTTTCCTGGCTAGTGCAATCACTATTGCACCGGTTATGTTACCAATTTTATGTCCTTTGAAAATTTGAAATTTTTTGAATTAAAATTTTTTGGAACAAAAAAAATACAAATAATTTTATTAAATTTTTTTTATTCATATTTTCCTAATTTTTATAGATTCAACTTTGAAGGATTGAAGAATTTTCGTATATTTATAGAAAATTTTTTGTTTATTCAGCTTTTTTTTTTTGCCGTTTGTTTTTTTTAATTTATTTTATTACAATTTTTACACCCACAATTTTTGGACTCTGATGTATTAAGAGTAATTGAACAAAAAGAAAAGAAAATTGTTGACACTTACATAATTTTTCCATATCATTCACTTAAAGCAATCATATACTTACATCACATATGTACATACAAACTCATATAAATGCTCGCAATATGCCATAAGAATATTATCCAAATACTGCAAATGATATCACATTGTAAAGTCTTCAATTCATTCAAGTGAATATGTGGACTTTAAGAAAATCCTATTTACACTTAATCAAATAATATTTTTTTTCTTTAGCCTTACACTTTGTTATATTGTGTTATGCCTACGTTTTGTTACGTTCCACCCTTATTTAATTTCATCCGCTCAATTTTCTATTCCTTAAAATTCATTGTCATAAACGTGTACTATTGCAAATGTAGATACACATTTTTATAGCATTGTCATTGTGTGTTAAAGATTTTCGTAAGAAATGAAAAGATAAAGTGAAAAATTTTGTTTTCTAAATAGAAAAAAAAACAAAATTAAATAAAATTGGAAAATCACAATATTTTCATTCTTCAGATATAAGTGCGTGCGTGCGTACCCTTGTACTTGTATAATGTAAGTTGCTTCACTATGTTTTCATTTTATTCCGTAAAACAAAGATTAACTATAAGTCCTAATATACAAAAAAAATATTTAACACATTCGTACATACAAGTATACATTTATATAGGTAAGTATTTTATAAACATAAAATACCAGGGAGACTATGTATGGGTACATATACACATATGTATACACACAAAATTTGAAAAGAAGAAAAATTCGGATGAATAAATATTATGAAGAAAATGGTAGAAAAACAACAGAATTCTAAAAAAAAAGAAAAACGTCATTTACAAGCCATTAATTCCATTTGAGAAATGAATTCTTCATCAATGTGTGTGCCAAACTGCCCATATATTTTCTATTAAGGATTAAAGCTTTATTTTATTTTTATTTGTATTTGGTTTTGTTCTGTTCATTCTCTTGAATTCAATTTTTATCTCATTTTACTGTTTTTTATGATATTATTATTGTGTTGCTTCAGCAGCAGTATGTTACTCTAATGATCGTTTATATTGGCTCTCTTGTATTTGTGTGTATGTTTAGTTTTTAGTTAACTTATATTTTGTTTCTGGTCTTAATTTTTTCCTCTTTCTTTTGCTTGTTTTGTTCTATTGAGTTTCGTGTATTCTTTGCTTTTTTGTTTTGTTTTATGGTTTTGTATTGTGGTAAAATTATTTTGCTTTATGTCTTCCATACATACCCACTATAAAGTTAAGTATTAAAACGAATTCTTAGCCCTATGTGTACATAAAATGTCTTATATGCTTTACTCTTTTGTGGTATTAAATTAAACCGCAAAAATGAAGAAAAGAATATAAGACGAAGAGTAAAATGATATGAAATAAGCCCTCAAAAGACTGAAAAGTGATTTTAGTCTTAAAAGCCCGCCTTACATTTTTCTTCTTAACTATAAAATATAATAATATAATTAAAGTGACCATAATATTATAATAAATTAAGAATCTCTAATAAATTAATCTCTTCAACTTTTATAAGAGAAGGTGGACAGAGAGTGCCTTCTTCAAGTTTGAACAGGAAAATGGCTTTACCGGAAGTATGGTTCTCGTTTTTTTGACATTAGATTATGCTGTTAATAAAAATGAGTACGGCCTGTTATTGCAGAACCGTATAAGATTTTCTTTATTTTTTCACAAATAATGTTCGAGGCTAGTCATATCTTTGTTATACAGTTATTATGTTTGATACATTAGGGTTTACATGGCTTAGACTAAGTTTCAATAACGTAATTGAATAGCCATGTTAGGAATAGTTTAAATTTCTTTTATTGTCGATTTTTTGATTAACCTTCGTTGTTGAATCTATTTTTTCAAAAATATAAATTGTTACTCCAGAGTTGACGTCATAGCTAATTCGTATCCTTTTTTTTAACTTTTGTAGAGAAAATCAAACCACGAATTTTATGCAACTTTTTTTGAGTAAATTTGGTCACTCTAATAAATTTTATTTTATTGTCCGATTTATTTGTGAATTGGGAATCTTTATGTTTAGCTAAAGTTTTAGGAACTAAAAAGTCTTAAATAACTTTTCCCTTTACATAAATATAATTTATTTTTTTTCTTACTTTTGGATTTTTCACGTTCTATAGCTTTTTTTCTTTGTAATACAATATTCGTCCGGTTTATTTGAAATCACAAGGGTGGTTTTATAATAGTGTGGTTGGTTGGAATGGCTCTTGTTAAATAATAGCTCCTTTAAAGGAATTTTAGTTTGTTTTTTTCCTTTTTGTTTTTTTTTTTAGTATATTGTTTTGTATTTCGGATTTTATTTGAGATGTTAAATATTTTTTAAGTGAAAATAAGCTGATTATGGGTTGAATATTATTTTCTCTTATTGAGTAGACATTTAACTGATATTTTGGGAATCAAATGTAAAAAGAAAAATAAGGTTCGAAGAACTGCAAATAATAAATGGAAAAAAAAAGAATATCAAGAAAGGGGGAAATGTTTAAATAATATCCAACTAATTTTATTTTTCTTAGTCTATCAATGTTTTTTCCTGTTTTCATTGATATTTTGTTGACTTTTTGTTCGTTTAAGGTACAAACAAAAGTTACAAATATTTAATATACAATTTAATAATTTGTGTGACTTACCTGTCATCGTAGACGAATCCTGCATTTAGGGTATTTAAATAGAGAACAAAGGCCAACGCGCAGCAACCCAAGCTTGTATAATCCATGCTGAAATTAAGAAAAGAAAAACGAAATATAAGTATTAATTTGAGTGTTTACTACTATTGTGTGAGTATTAATAAGAGTGTGTATTTTATTACTTTATTTAGTAGTTGCATAAATTAATAATTTCAAGCGTTATTCCGCAATAGTAAGTTTACTTGTACCTATGTACACTGTTCACTTCATGTCCAATAATATCATAGGGAAAAAAATTTCAACCTAATAAGTTTTCATGCTGTGAAACAATATTGTAAGTAATTGCTACTTTCACAATAGTAGCTATCATATAATTATTGTAGTCTTTAAAATGAAATGTCGTAAAGAAAGAGTGTTAATCAATGCTGTTTAATTTCTTTGTACATGCACTCTATTCAATTATATTGCAGTATTAGTTAATAAATGAAAGATATGAAAAATACATAAAGTAAGTCGAAACAAGTTGTACTTTGACCATATCAATATAATGTATCAGTATGAAGCGATGTGATATTAATAATTATGCGCATACTTTGTAGTGTTATACAAGTTTCTCATAGTTATTATAACATAAAATCATGTTTCCATACTGTAGACTTATTTAATAAGTTTTCTTGTTAATTCACACAAAATTATGATTTCCTTGCATTCTCTTATATAAAGAAAATTGTTTCTTTCCACGATTTAATAAGAAAATAAGAACAAAAGCAAAATATTATTGAAAATTTTTAATTGCTAATATATGCATAATATTTGTTACTATTTTATGAGAGGCTTTAAATTAATGATTTTACGTCATTAGTTCTGAAAAAGGACCTTATGTGGGATACTATTGTCAAAAGTTTAAAAAAGACGTTCTTATCCAGTTAAATATTTGCGATAAGATTAATGTTTTCTTAAGAGAAAAGAAAGTTTTGAATGAAAGTCGAATATTTTTCATTGGAAAAGGTTGTGACCCAAATACATAATTATGCCAGAAGTTGAACAAAAATTCATAATATAGTTTGCCAATAATTTTCGGGTTAGCGAAGCAATCTTCAAACATAGTAGCATTTTTAAGAGAACCGAGTGCTGCATGAGAATTTCCAGCGAGGCACAGCAACCATTCGCGACTTATTGTAGCCAGCTCACGAACGCTGACCAAACCCTGTACAAAACAATTAGAAGACAATACTCCACTGGATCTTTTCTGTAGTAAGTCTTCGTTAATTCGACACCTCACAGTACATAAAATATTTATTCAAAAACACACAAATATTAAAAGCATTAATTACATTATTTCCTTAGGTTTAAGAATTACTTACAATATTTAGATCGTAACTCAAATATAAATAGGGAATTTGTGCTATTTACATAACTTTAATAATTTACAAAGAAAATATCACTTTGTTTTTTTTTTTACGTAAATTTATGAAAATAAATCTCTACAATAGTAAAGTGTTATACTTAACTTTCAGGAACAGTTTTACTTTTTCATAATTTTCTTGAACTAATTTTAATAAATTTTTATTTTGCCCTACTTTTTTTATGTAATAAAAACAAGGATATTAAGCTAAATATTTAAATAATATGATAATGATAATAATTATAATTTACCTTCTTATTGTCTATATGTGTATGTATAATAATATTATAGAGTATAGTTAATAAAATGAGAATGCATTATTATATAATTAAATGACAACAATACGTTTAAGTATTATTTCTATAATTTCGATCATTAAACTATATATGAATATACTTATTATAATTATATATATATGCATTATTATACTAATAATTACTAACATAATTTTCTTCTCCTAATTTAATATCCCAGTGCGTCATGTAAGTGACAATTGCACTACATGTACCTCAAATATATAAAAGAAAAAACAGGAATTAATAAAAATTAACAATAATTTAAATAAAATGTTTAAATCTTTAGAGAGTTTTTGATGCTTGAAAATTCCCATATGAGAGGACATTTTCTGTCCTTGAGTTTTAAATAATTAAATTACATCCTAATGCTAATTAAATGATAATATCATATTTTGTCAACATACAATTTATTATTTTATTATATTATGTAAATATATTAAATTTAAAATTAAATTCGTACATAGAACGTAATAGTTAAACAGTTAAATAGTTTGAATATATATCAATAAAATCAATAGTTTTCATGCAAATATATTAAATACAACCATTGAAATTTAGAGATTATCAGCACTATCATAAATTCCACTCATAAAATATTACGAACTACAAACTTAGCTACGACGTAGACTTTTAAATCATCACGAATTCCTTTCAAAAAAATTATGAATCACCAATAGCAGTAAAAAGCTATTTTTTGAAAATAGCCTTTTGTATGGAAGTTTCGCAGTTTTTGTAGTTTTTGGATATTTTTTAAAAGTGAAAAAAAATATTTTTTGTCAAATACAAATTTGTTATCCTTCATGGTTCAAAAAAATTAAAAAAAAACTTGGTGTGGTTGCTTGTTAGTATGATTATATTATCTTTCGTAGACATTTGAAGGGTATTTTTTATTGCGAACGTAATTTATGATTACTCCATTACGAACATTCGGAGCGGGATTTATGTAGATAATATGTAATTGGCAATTTTCCGAAATTCATTATTTTAGTCATACCCACTTAATTATTAAAATTATTTTAAGATGTTTCACCATTTAATAAAAAACTAAAATTAAATAAGCTTGTCCAAAACTGATTGAATTTAAATTTCATTACAACTGTGGTAGTATTATGGTGCGGTGCACCGCCTTCAATATTATTCTAAACTGCTTTTGGTTTTCGAATTTCTAAATTACTTTTCGAAAGAAATTCTATAAATTTTGTTTCGAATTCATGTAAACTTTGAATATTTTGCTAAAATTTTTGTTTTTGGTCGGATTAACGTCACAGGTAAATGAATTCTTATTAAAATTTTCTAAAGCTTAGATCAGTATTAACACGCAAAATTGTAATTAAAAATTTTTTTATCATTTTATAATAAATTTTCTAAAATAAAGCTCAGAAAATTGCCATGATTTGCCGTGAAGTAAAAAAAAATATTTTGAATTGTGTATAAAAAAAATCTTTAAATTATTTGGTTTATTATTATTCCCTCTAGTTCTTCTAGTTAATTTACGAGTTTTAATTAACCAAAAATATAACGAATATTAGAATTTAAAATAGCATTGGAAAAAATTAATTTTGCATATTTACAGGCTTAGTACTTCATATTTTACACAAATATGACTTAGAAATTCTATATAGGTTAGAAATTCTGTACTTTATTTTTCTTAAGTAGCTCTTTCCTATTTCGGTGGACTGGGAAAAACGCTATTAAGAAACAGCTTTTAATTACATTCTTTTGAAGTATAAAATGTTATTGTTAAGGACTGTTTTCATATTCTATATCCATAATAAAATAAATAAGTAAGTAGAGCACAATTATATACATATGTGTTTTATATATTATTCATTTATGTAAATTATATTTACTTGTATATTATCCTTATACATAATCACAATTAAAAAAAAAAACGAATAAACATAGCGTATATTCCGTTTTTATTTTTATGGCTGCGCTTCACGTTCCTCTTTTTGAATATTTTTTTCATTTTTTATTTTATGGTTTTTTATTAAATTAAGTTTTTTATTCGACATTTTTTTTTTGATTTTTTTTTTATGTATTTTTGTCCTTTATTATAAATTATTGTTGCTTTGTTTTCCCTTTCAACATAATAAATTTTAACCCCAACTGTCATGTTTTATTATAATAATTGCTCGGTACTCTAAGTGTTGTCAAAAAAAATATATGTATATGTATATATTATATTTTTTTTACCGCTTTGTACATAAAAATATTTACAGTTACAATTTCGCTTATATTTTTTTTCTCTTTTATGTTCTATAATATAGTAGTGCTCTGTTGCTGTTCTTATTGCTTTTATTCGCTTATTTGGTAATCATGTCGTAATTTCATTTTTTTTTTTTCATTTTTCTTGAATAATGACGAGAAAATTATGAAATAAAAAACGAAAACAGAGAAACAAAAAAGTAAAATGAAAAAAAAAAAAAAATTGAAATAATAATAAAAGTTTACAATTAAAAATTTACATACATACATGTACATACATACGTATATAAAAGTATGTAAGTGCGTGCACGTTTTTAAAATATAAAAGAGATGGAATATATAAGAAAATATGTAAAAATGATAAGGAAGGAAAAAAAAACGCAAATTTAAAAAATTTAAAAAAAAAGGACTAATGTTGGTTGAATGAATTAATACCCAAATAACAAGAAATAACTGAGTATCAAATGTATAACAAAAACGACAACAACAGCAGCTCGGTTATGTAGCAAAGAAAAATAAAACGCTTAAAAATTGTAAAAGGAAGGAAAATAAGTTTTTTTATTTTCAGCTTCTCGTCTTTTTATTTTCTCGTATACAATTTTTTAATCTTAATAAGCGAAAATATGTACTAGAGTGTATAATGAATTGTATATACATATATGTATATGTATATAGATATTAAAAATTATGGTTGGTTATTATTAAAGGCTAAAAAGGACATAAAAATGACTTAAAAAGGGGTAATTAAAAACAACAATTTCGTTTTTATTTGTTTATTTTTTTAATTTTTTTTACTTTTATTCTAAAAAATATGTGCGGTATGATTTCCCTACCAAATATATTTATATTTTATTTAAGTTTTTTAATAATACTAAAAATGATGAAAATGAATAAATAAATAAACGATAACCAACAAATGTATACCATAAGAAAATAGAATTTCAAGAGGCATAAGTAGCATAAGAACCAATTTAAATTTAAAAGTAAAATTATATGTTTGATATACACAATAGGTTTGCCATCTTATTGTAGAAATTATAGCATTAATAAAATTACAGAATATCAGGTTAATATAGATGAAGCAGCGGAAAATTCAATATGAGTAAAAGTTTTTGTAATTGCTAAATGTCAAGACTTTTTAAAGAACTGGTACATAAGAATTTATAATAGCTTTTAATATA